CCTACGTCCATCCCACCTCTTAACGTAAAAGTAACTAAAAGGAAACGGAACGAAAGGTAACGTACCTAATAGTAGGAAAGGAACGAAACTAAGAAGTTAAGTTCGAACTAAGACGTNTACCCCCACCCCCCCACCCCCCCCCGCCCGCCCATGTAAACTCTCAAAGGAAAGCAAAAGAGGTCATTTGACAAATACAAGTGATATTTGTGAGCAAAATATAACTAGCCAAGTATCAATGCTCCAAACTCTTAAGTTCAAACTTCGAACAAGCAAAAAGATTCTAGAAAGAAAAATGGAGGACTAGAAGAAGGTATACTTCTTTCACAATATAATTTCTTAAAGATGTTCATGTGATGTAAAATTGGAACGAAGAGATGTTTTTATCAACGGAACAGGGTCAAAACTGGCCTTGTACTATACGAAATTGGATAACTTTGTCCCCCCGTTAAAAGCTGGTCCCAGATTTGCCCCTACCGTGACCAAAATGGCTCAAATTTGCCCTTCTGACTAACAGACCTAATTTTTTTTTTATTAATATTTGTTTACCTAAATAATATGCCACGTGTCCTAACCAAATAATAGTGGACCTGATTTATCCTTACACTATTCGTATGGTTCAATTTTGCACTTATACTTTGTGTATGATTCAATTTTGTCCTTCTTCAACACCTATCTTGAACAAATCACTAGCTCGGGTTATGCATCTTTCATGTTAATTATTTTTCGACACTACGTATATAGTGCTAGTTTCTACGATCTACTGGTTGAGGAAAAATATGTCAAGTATTTTCTTATAAATTGTTTAGAGTATTACAAAATGATCTCCTGATTGCAATAGTTTTTAGATATGTTCCTTGTTTCTTACAATTTATCTTCCCAAAATGTCCAGTTTGTTCCAAACGAATATTATATTTGATACTTGGTTTAATATATTCTTAGCTTTATAGGATCTTTATTTTGCTTACCTCGATTACAATATATGTAACTTTATTTAGTGTGCAAGTATAACCACCAAAATTAAATGTATGAAACAAGCAACATCATCTATGCAGATCATGCGAATAATATTTTTCACCTTGCATTGCATGTATGCTTCATTACAGGTCATTTTAAACTTTTGTTAAAAGTACACCTCACTCGTCTTTTATTTTCTATTTTCTTGTAAAACCTTTAAGTATATTATGTGTGAATGATGGAGGAAGAGGAGTGTAAATTAGGGACACATGGGAGAAGTGTTAGTGGGGACGCGACTGTGATGTGGGACATGACAGCGAACTACATTAGGGAAGCTGCAAGAGAGGTTTTAGGCGTTACGAAGGGATACCCTGGGGGATGTATAGGGGACTGGTGGTGGAATGCAGAGGTCCAAGGTAAAGTTGAAGACAAGAAAGCGGCTTATTACTAGTGGTGAGCACGAACGAGGAGGAAAAGAGGACGAATTGGGAATGATATAAGAAGGCAAAGAAAGAGGCGATGTTAGCGGTTATGGCGGCTAAGACTGCTGCCTTTGGATGGATGTGTGAGGAACTTGGGAGCAAAGGCGGGGACAAGAAGTTGTCCAGGCTAGCCAAAGTGAGGGAGACGAAGGCTCGTGACTTGGCCAAGTGAAGTGCATCAAAGACGGGGACGGCATAGTATTGATGGAAGATGCTCATATTAGACGAAGATGGAAGACATACTTCCACAGACTGTTGTTGGGTGAGTTGGAGCACTCCGAGAGTCGGCGTGATTTTGGTTATTGTAGGCGTATTAAGGTCGAAGAGGTTATGGGAGCGATGCGTAAGATGAGCAGGGGTAGAGCGTTTGGGCCAAACGAGATCCTGGTAGAATTCTGGAAAAAGTGCGGGCCATGCAGACGTGGAGTGGCTTACTGGATTGTTTAATATTATCTTTAAGACGAAGAAGATGCCCGAAGAATGGAGGTGGAGTACGAAGATTCCGTTGTACAAGAACAAGGGTAATATCCAAAACTGCAATAACAATTGGGGTATCAAGCTGCTGAGTCATACTATGAAAGTTTGGGAGAGGATGGTGGAAGTCAGGGTGAGAAGGAGTGTGTCTATTTTCGAAAATCAGTTTGGATTCATGCCGGGGCGATCGACTACGGAAGTCATTCATCTAGTAGGAGATTGGTAGAGCAGTATAGGGAGAGAAAGAAGGACTTACACATGGTGTTTATAGACTTAGAAAAAACGTACGACCGAGGGAGGTTCTGTGGAGATTTTTAGAGGTTAGCGGCGTTCCGGTAGCATACACTAGGATGATCAAGGACATGTATGATGGTGCTAAGACTTGGGTAAGGACAATGGGAGGTGACTCGGATCACTTCCCAGTAGTGATGGGGTTGCACCAGGGATCGGCTCTTAGCCCGTTCCTATTTGCTTTGGCGATGGATGTGCTGACGCGGTACATTCGAGGGGAGGTGCCATGGTGTATGTCATTTGCCGATGACATAGTGCCGATTGATGAGACGAGAGGCGGGGTTAACGCGAGGCTGGAGGTCTGGAGACAAACCCTAGAGTCTAAAGGTTTCAAGTTGAGCAAAACCAAAACGGAATACTTCGAGTGTAAGTTCAGTGACAAGACTCATGAAGCGGACGTGGATGTGAAGCTTGATATCCAAGTCATCCCGAGGAGGGGTAGTTTCAAGTATCTCGGGTCTATAATCCAAAGTAACGGGGAGATTGATGATGAGGTCTCCCACCGTATTGGTGCAGGGTGGATGAAATGGAAGCTTGCATCCGGTGTTATGTGTGATAAGAAGGTGCCACCAAGACTTGTATGTTCCACAGTGTGATGGTTAGACCTACTATGTTGTATGGGGCTAAGTGTTGGCCAGTCAAGAATTTCATGTTCAGAGGATGAAAGTAGCAGATATGAGTATGCTGAGATGGATGTGTGGGCATACCAGGAGAGTTTAGATTAGGAACGAAGTTATTCGGGACAAAGTGGGAGTGGCCCCCGTGGAGGACAAGATGCGGGAGTTGAGGCCGAGACGGTTCGGGCATGTGCAGAGGAGGAGTAAAGATGCTCCTGTTAGGAGGTGAGAGAGGCTGGCCATGGTGGGACTAAGAAGAGGTAGAGGTAGGCCAAAAAAGTACTGGGGATAGGTGATTAGGCAGGACATGGCGCTTCTTCAGCTCACTAAGGACATGACCAAGGATAGAAGGGTGTGGAGATTGAGGATTAGGGTAGAAGGCTAGTAGGTAGTCGAGAGTTCCCCATTCTTTTTTAGTAGTATTAGTAGCACTCTAGTTTTTTTTCCGTATTCTTTGACCTCTAGTATTTGCCTATTGTTTCATTCGCTCCGTGTATCATATTTTCAAGTTTGTTACTATTTGATGCTACTTCTTATTTTACTTGTTGATGTTGTTGTCGTCGTCGTCTTTTTCTCCTTTTCCTTATCGTCCTTTGTCTTCCTCTTCTTTCTTTCTTCCTCCTCTTTCTTCTTTTTCTTCTTCCTTTTTCTCTCTTTTCTGAGTCAAGGGTCTATCGGAAACAGCATCTCTACCTCGCCAGATAGGGGTAAGGTCTGCGTACACACTACCCTCCTCAGACCCCACTTATGAGATTATATTGGGTATGTTGTTGTTGTTGTTGTATGGGAGAAGTGTTAGTGGTGGCGGAGAAGGAGGGAAAATTGAACCATACACATAGTATAAGGGCAAAAATGAAGCATACAAATAGCGTAAGGATATATCTGGTCCATTTGGTGAGGACACGTGGCATATTATTTGGGCAAAAAAATGTTAGTTAAAAATAAAAAATAAAAATAAAAAAAGTTAGGTATATTAGTCAAAGAGGGCAAATTTGAGCCATTTTGGTTACGGTATGGCAAATCTAGGACCAACTTTTAACAAAGGGTAAAGTTGTCCAATTTCATATAGTACAAGGCAGTTTTGACCCTTTTTTCATTTTCTCAATACTTCACTCCAGAAATCAACTTCACAGGGTGATATATGTATTTTAATTTTCATAACATCTAAACTCCATGTCCCTAACAAATTTGTGAATCCGATAACCCAAACACAAACATTTGCAACTTCGGTGCGCATGGATATAAAGGGTCATAATCAATCGTATTGAATACGTGAAGAATAATCTATTTGTGCACAGAAGAGTTAGCACACATAAAATGCGTTTCCCATGAATATAACTATAAGGATCTCATTTAAACATAAAGAAGGAAAAAATATCAGCTGTACGAAATACCTGAAATTCTTCCCTACAACAACGATGTCAATGGAGGAGGATAAGAGAGCCAATGTAAGCTACCTTTGACTAGTCATACCATAGAGTAAGGCAGAATGTTTAACCAAGGATACCGAAACTATTTTCGGTGGTTGATTGGATATAATTGTCGACATTGATGTGCCTGAGATGGCTTAAAAACTAGGTGAAGCATAAGTTGGGTGCTTCGCTTCATTAAGATGGCGTTTTATTGCAGATACCAAAGCACTAAGACATGCGCCTCACCAATGAATGGGCTTTCTTTAACAGAAGATTAATTATTACTTCTTAGCAAGATATGAATGACTTTTTCAGTGATTAAGAATAAGATTTTAGGTTCAAATCCTAGTGGAGGCAAAAACACTAGGTCATTTCTTCCCACATGTCCAAATCTCGAAGGACAGAGTTACCTGGTACTTGCTGCTGGTGGGAGGTAGCAAGTATCCCGTGAAAATAGTCGAGGTGCGCGCAAGCTGGCCCAGACACCATGTTTATTATTAAAAAAAAAAAAAGAAGAAGAAGAAGAAGAAGCAGCTAAAAGCTTAATAAAAGAAAACTAGTTACTAAAAGTTAAAAATGTATCTTTACATCTAAACAAAAACTTAAAGTAGTTCTTGAATTTGTTCGACATAATTTGGACTTGATATATTTAACTCAATTCAGTTCAAAAAAAAAATTTACAACTCAAAATGTTTCACTAAGATATAGTTTTCCAATTTTTAAGCAAATTATTATCATTTATCTTTATAGTTAATCTTTTTCTAGTTTCTTCGATATATTTTTACATTTTCTTTCATTAGCACCTTTCCTTCCTAAGCGCACACTTCAATTGCTCTTTGCCATTAAAGTCCCAGTAGATTTTCACACTTTTCTACTAGGTTTGAGAATGTAATAGTAGTAGAGGATGCAAAAGACTTGGACTGGTGCTTAGTGATATCTTGGATAATAAAAAGTAAAAGTGATGTTTACATGTGGGTAGCAGCTAGTGATATTGAAGAATACAGACAATTGCAGTAGAAAATGACTCAAAATAATAAGCGTGCTTTCTCCTACTCAACGTAAAATATTTGGCTTGAGAAAAACTATTGGTGTGAGATGAGTTTAAGTTGAATAACATGAACTGAGGAGTTGTTGTCGTAGAAAAACTAATTTCACTGGCTTCAAAAGATCAGTACCACACAGAGATAAATTATTTTGAGTAGTTCTATGCATAGTCAGCATTATAGCCCCAATCACAGCTACTAATACTACAAGACTAAGAGGGTGTTTGGATTGGCTTATTTTAAGTGCTTATTGGCTTTTAAGCACTTTTTAAATTTGTGTGGTGTTTGGCAATGATTAAAAGTGCTTAAAAGCACTTACTTTTAGGCATAAAAGGTACAAAAATAAGCCAAAAGCCAAGGTATTACAAACTTATGGCTTTTGGCTTTTAGCTTAAAAGCTACTTTTTATAAGCCAATCCAAACACCCTCTAAAGACCAGCAAGACAAAACACCTAGTATAAAAACAAATTGCCCAAGGCTTTCAAATCAGACAAACAGCATATCATCCCATCATAGTATCTCATAGAGGTTGTGTTTCTTTTGGTAGTATAGGAATGCTTTCATTATCTAAGACAAACATCTCCCACTAAATCACCCCAACAATACCACTATCCAATCAGCTTCAAAACTTATTGGATAGTAGACCTATCCCTCTATCCTTCTCCACTTAAATATCATGCTCGGTTGTCAACTAGAATTTCGAACTCGTGACATTCGCCTACCAGACATCTCGCCGACTCGCACTATACTACATTTGCCATGGAACCAAAGTCCTGAGGACTCGCTCAAGTGTAAATATATGCAGCCGACTTAACCATTCTTACTTTTTATTCCTTATTTACTAGGAGGGAACTAATCCCTCAATGTTGTATTTCATTTCAACTATTATCAATTATTATGTAAGTCGTATTTCATTTCTAAGCAAATCAACTTCGGCTCAATAAAGAAACCTTTCTCGTCTATGAAGTTTATAATATAAATCAAACCGTGATAGAACACTTAATTACTCTATTAATCGAAGTAAAATATCACAGCAAACAGACATCAGCTTTCAAGGATAATAAGACGCACCATGTACCATTACAAAAATAAAAAAGGCTAAAGACTAAATTCAGCATTCAGAAAAATTAAATCCGACAATAATTAGTTCGAAATAGAAGTCAGATCAAGCACTCACATGAAAAACGACGCCGTTACCACGAGACCAACTGCAAGCATGAACAACGCTAGGGTTGGATACAACGACTCAGGAACCGGGCTCGAGATCGGTTTTGCTGATTGAGCCTTTCAAAAAAAGAACAAAAGTCACGAGAACATAAATTCGCTGAAAGCTGTAATGCAATTGAAAAAAATGAACCATACCATTTTCGAGCAATGAGATCGTCTGAAGACTTTGGTCGATCGGAATTGTGCAACTCTTTTTAGTAGCGAGAGCGCTGAGGAACAATTCAGTGCTTTGACGACTTGGGAGTATGCAGATAGGTGAATTGAATTTAGGCTGTTTGAGTTGAGAATCTTGAGATTAATTGGCAGTCCAACCTCCTAAAAACTCAAAATTCAGGGAATTAAAGTGGGGTCAGGGTTCTTTTCAGAATATTAACAACTTCAGGGTCTAGAACAAAAACTTAATAAAAGGGTTTTAAGACTCATTTAATACTCTTTCGCTTTACACTCTGTTTGGATCATTGTTACCCATCGTTTTATAATGTGTTGTATTGTATTGTACTGTACTGTATTGTATTGTTTTGATGAATACAACGTTTGGATAGATTGTATCGTTTGCTGTTGTTAAACAATATTTTTATTGTTTGGTTTGACTGTATTGTATTGTACTATACTGGTATATTTACTAAAATACCCCCAATTATTTAAATACGATGCTTCTTAAGAACTACTCATAAAAATAATTTATTTATTTGGCCTTCCGATCTTCCTCACAGGGAATCATCATTCTACCATAGTAACGAAAGCACCAAACTGGTTTCATACAAAAATAAAATTATAGCCCCATCAAAATAGAGAACAACGGACCTTCTGTTCCTGTAGTTTGGAATGGTAGAAGCCTAAGTAAATTATATATGTAATTATAATTAGCAAAAATTTTGCAAAGATTATAGATGAGATAAAAATACATAAAAAAAAAAAGAGATAGAAAACTAACCAAAAAAATAAACAAAAGAAGGACGGAGACAAAGTACATAGTTGGGTGAAGTAAAACATAAATAATAGGGTAAAGGGTAAAATTAAAATATAGAATAATTAGTGTGGGCGTAATTAGAAAGAGAAATATGGAACAATCCCACCACACCGATTTGGTTGTTTCATAAAATGGGGTTTTTCATTGTTCCGGAACAATGAATTTAACAATATAATACAATCAGTTTTATATGAACAATCAAAACAAATATTGTATCTGGGGTAACAATACAATACAATACGATGGGTAACAACCATCCAAACAATACGTTAGTCAAACTTCAAATTTCTCTCTCTCAGCTCTCGCTCTCCACTCTCTCCAATTCCTCGAAGGATTTCAGCCTACGAACGTCGTTGTTTTTTAAGGTATTTGAGCATAAATTTGTGTTCTCCATTATTGCATTGCCTTTTGAAGGTCACATTTTGTGGGTGTATACAGTCAAAATCGGGCTTGTCTAATTTTATATGGCTGATCGAAACCGGGGTGGCAGACCAAGGCTCGGCCCCGCGTTGTGTCGAACCATGGCAGGGAGATGGATTGTTAAGCTCATTAATCAATGACCGATCAAGATCGAGACCGAAGTGGTGTGGAGATCGAGGCGAGATTGAAGGAAGCCTGCTAAGTCGAATAACAGAAACCCGAGATATCCGTAATCGGGCAAGGATCGTGGCGAAAATCTCGGCACGTATCAAGTCAAGACCGGTTATTTAGTCAACCAAGGGATTTTCTTCTGTATTTAGAATTATACCATAAGTAGAATTCCTCTACTACATAAAAGAGCGTTCTAATCATTTTGTAGGCATCATACTCACGCATAACAAAACAATTCATTATATTTTTCTCTCTTACATTTTTCATTAGCATATTCAGTTGGTTCGAGGGCGATCTAGCTCGAGGGCCATAATCTCTCATTATATTGGTTTGCTTTATTTTACAGTTAATTATAACATTAATTCTTTCTCATATCTCTCAGTTTGTGCCAAATGAAATTACATATCCTTAAAACCACTTATAAATTTAATTGTTATCCAATTTTAAGGGTAAACAGTTTGGCGCCCACCGTGGGGCTAAGGATAATAGTGATTGCCTAGTACAATTTTCGAAACACACACTATTTTACGCTTGTTCTTTGATGTGTCTTTGATTCCAGGATCAACATGTCAAACTCTTAAGCACCACCCATACACAGAAAATGGCCTTGGTCTCCATGGCGAGAACGACAACATAGCCACCCCAGGAAATGGAGTAGCTCCAGTCAACCTCGATGGAGCCCCGTCCATGGACCCAGTCGACATCAGTTCCCATATTGCCATTAATGGGAATTTGGCGGTTGATCCTGAAAGTAGCATCCGCAGAGATGTTCGACCAACCAATCAGAATGCACAGGGCGGTGAAGAAGGCCGGATCACCCTTCGAGTGATATTCGAAATATTGCAGACTCAACAAGCTGCAATAGCACAACTCCAAAATCAGAACCGTGCACCAAGCAGGATCGAGCTCGAACCATCACAGGATATTGTTCATAGGGACAAGTCGGTGCCAAAGAGATCGAATGGAGGAGAATCAGAGACCAATCCTGCTATCATAAAGATGCTTGAAGTCTCTGGATAATCGCCTCGCCTCAAGGGTAGTAGGGCTGAGTCAAAGTACCTGGATCTGCACACGAAAAACATGTGCAGGAAAGGGCATGAATACACCATAGTGGTACCCAGTAAGTGCCAAGCCTAACCTCGGTCGAGTAGTGACGAGGAAAGTCAGGGCCCTGCCGGTAATATACAATAATATATAAGGAAAAGAAGCAGTATTTAAGTAACACAGGGTAATAAGAGTAGCAACAACTACAACAGAGACAAATAATCACAAAAGGAATACGGCTCAACACAGAGATAACAACTGGGGATCTCCCAGGATACCGTCCTATAGTCCCCAAATATAAATATCCAGTGGATCTCCCGGGTATCATCCCGTAGTCCGAGTCATAATTCGCAGGGGATCTCCCAGAATACCACATCCGTAGTCCCAAATGTAAATACTCAGTACTGGGGGAATCTACTAGGTGCAGTCCCGTAGTTCCAATGTAAATGTGTAGGGGGATCTCCCGGAATACCACATCCGTAGTCCCAAATAAACAGGCAAGGGGGATCTCCCGGGATATCGCTCGTAGTCCCAAAGCAAACACACAGCAGCAACACGAAGAATATTCAACTCAATCAAATTTCATACCAAGGTAAAACAGGTATTTCTAGCCTAGCATGTTGCACAGAATTCAAATAAGGCAGTTTGAGCAAGTAAAGCACTTAAATCACTTAGACATGCTTCCCTAAGCTAACAGTAGGCTTAAATTGCAATTAGTAAAAACAAGGAAGAAAATGCAGTTATAATTACTTAATAAAAACAGGATTTTCAACAGTTAGCACATGTACGCACTCGTCACCTCACATACAAGGCATTTCATATATCACAGTACCAATTCCTAAGGGAAGTTCCCCCACACAAGGTTAGGCAAGCCACTTACCTCGAACCAACTCAATCAACTCAATACCACGTTCTTGCTACGAGTATCCGACTCCAAATGTCCCAAATCTATTCAAAGTAATTGTATAATGTAAATATAACTTCAAGTAACTGATTCAACTAATTAATTCGAAGCTAATACGCAGAATTAGGAAAATCGCCCAAAAAGCCCCCGAGCCCACGTCTCGAAATTGGGTAAAATTTACAAATCCGGAATCCTCACACTCTCACGAGTTCATATATACAAAAATTACTCCAATCCGACATCAAAATCTTGATCAAAACTCCAAAATTAGGCCTAAGAACTTTTCAAATTTTTTTCTCCAAATTTTCACCCTAAATTCGAATTTAAAGGATGAATTTAAGCATAGATTCGTGGAAATTAATCAAAACCGAGTAAGAATTACTTACCTAAAACACCCAGGTGAAATTCTCTCCTAAAATCGCCAATCCCAAGCTCCCAAATCAATTTCTAAGGTTTTGAGACTTAACCCTCGATTCTGCCCCTTTTCCTGACCAGTGGAACCGCACCTGCGTCTTTGGGACTGCACCTGCGGTCCCGCTTCTGCGGAGACCATGTCGCACCTGCGACTTTTCATTAAACCAAAAATTCCGCACCTGCGACCCCCTTTCCATAGATGTGGTGCCGCTTCTGCGGTGAATGGGCTGCATCTGCGACCTAAGTACAAAATGCCTCAGACCGCACCTGCAGTCCTCCTACCGCTTCTGCGGTGCCGCACCTGTGGTCCAATACAATCAGGTGCGGTTATGACAGGTTCAGCCAACTTCATTTTCCTCCTAAGTCCAATTCAATTTCCGTTAAGCACCCAAAACTCACCCGAGGCCCCCGGGACCTCAACCGAACCTGCCAACCAATCCTAAAACATCATACGAATTTATTCCAACCCTCGAATCACATCAAACAACACTAAAACCACAAATCACTCTCCAATCCAAGCCTAAGGATTTCCAAAACTTCAAATTTCCGCTTTCGATGAAAAAGCCTATCAAACCTCGTCCAAATTACCTGAAATTTTGCACACACGTCCCAAATGACACAACGGACCTACTCCAACTTCCGAAATTCCATCCGGCCCCAATATCAAAATCACTATTGAACCGGAAACTTCAAGAATTCAACTTTCGGCATTTCAAGCCTAATTAAGCTACGGACCTCCAAAACACAATCCGAACACGCCCCTAAGCCCGAAATCACCCAACGGAGCTAACAGAACCAACGGAATTCCATTCCGAGACCGTCTTCACACCTCTCCGACTACAGTCCAAAATCTAAGGCTAAAACTCTCATTTAGGGACTAAGTGTCACAAAACACTCCGAAATACAAAACGAATCCTCCCGGCAACTCACAATAGCAGAAATAAGCACGGGGAAAGCAGTTAATAGGGAATCGGGGCGTTGATTCTTAAAATGACCGGCCAGGTCATTACATCAATGATCGAAGAAGGCCACACCGTAATAAACTCCACGAGTTTGACTGAGGATTGGAGAAAAAACTATATAGAGTACTTAAAGAATGGGAAGCTCCCATCGAATCCAAAGGAGTCGAGAGCTCTGCGTACAAAGGTAGTACGGTTCACTTTGTCCGAAGATGGAACACTGTTTAGAAGAATGTTCAATGGACCGTTGGCAATATGTTTGGGATCGGGAGATACCGACTACGTCCTGCGGGAAGTTCACGAAGGTACTTGTGGAAATCATTTCAGTACCGAATCGTTAGTCCACAAGTAATCAGAGCGGGGTACTACTAGACCGATATGGAGAAGGACGCAAAGGAATTCGTTCGAAAATGCGACAAATGCCAAAGGTATGCGCCAATGATTCACCATCCCGGAGAGCAACTCCATTCTGTCTTGTACCCGTGGCCATTCACGAAATGGGGAATGGATATTGTCAGCCCTCTTCCATCGGCCCCAGGTAAAACTCAGTTTATTTTATTATGACTGATTCTTTTTCTAGGTGGGTTGAAGAGCAGGCTTTCGAGAAAGTTAGAGAAAAAGAAGTCATAGACTTCATTTGGGATCACATCATATATCGATTCGGGATGCCCTTCAAGACCGTATGTGATAATGGAAAGCAATTCATCGGCAAAAAAGTGACAAAATTTATCGAGGATTGCAAGATCAAAAAAGTCCTATCGACGCCTTATCATCCCAGCGGGAACGAACAAGCCAAATCGACCAACAAAACCATCATTCAGAACCTTATGAAGAGATTGACCCACGCCAAAGGGAAGTGGAGAGAGATATTGCCCGAGGTTCTATGGGCATACCGCACAACATCGAAATCCAGCACCAGAGCAACACCGTTCTCGTTAGTTTACGGCGCCGAAGCCCTAATCCTGGTCGAAGACGGAGAACCCAGCATCAGATTTTGATATGCAACAGAGGAGTCAAATAACAACGTCATGAATGCGAGCGTAGAATTGTTGGACGAAAGACGCGAAGCCGCCCTCGTCCGATTGGCCGCTCAAAAATAGCGGATCGAAAGGTACTACAATCGAAAAGCCAATCTTTGACACTTTGACGTTGGGGAGTTGGTGCTAAGAAAGGTCACTCTCAACACTCGAAATCCGAATAAAGGGAAACTAGGTCCGAACCGGGAACGATCGTACCAGGTTCTCAAAATCATTGAAAAAGGATCCTACAAGCTCGGCACGATGAACGGCGAACAACTACCGAGCAATTGGAACGTGTCACACCTAAAATGATACTACTGCTAAGGTACGACCCCTTCTATTTTCATTTATTGTTTAAACTAACTCTTGCAGGTGTTTGATCAGAAACAGCGATGGACTCTCCGACACGAAGTCTTTAGGTCAGAAAGCACGCGTTGCGCTCTTTTTCCCTTAGACCAATTTTGTCGCAAATGGGTTTTTCGGCGAGGTTTTTAATGGGGCAACCATTGATCGTGCTAACTCAGAACAATTCAACAATATCCGAGGCTTCTTTACAATCAACCTCGAATACTTGGGGCATTACCCTCAAATTTCAACTTTGTTGCGAGTAAATTACTTCATGGCATCAGGATCTCGATAGGAAAATTTTTTAAGGGCCAAACGGTCAAACGAACTGTGCCCGCGTAGTGCTTGAGCCCTAGCATAGAACATGTACGCATGTATAATCAGTTATAAAGAGAAGTATTTTTCCTTGCCGATATCTCATGCCTTAGAAAATTTTTTCTACTTTACAATTTCGTACTCTTGATCTATTATGTAAATAGGCTTAAGGGCCGATCATAAACAGATTCGGATAATTACCCCCACGCTCGGAGACAACCATCCAAAAAATAAACGAGATCGAATTATTAAAACTTCTAGATCATAAGACCTTTCAGGCAACCCTCGATTTTCATAGGCCACGGCCACCCCACTCGGGGACTGACACTTCGAGCAAGCTCGAAGTATAACGGGAAAATAATCCCAAGGGGCTAATCCCAAACTAAAGAGGCTACAGCAAAATTAACATGGTTCAAAGACGTCCGAATTCCGTAACAAAACATGCCTTCAAATTCTTTTATAAACCGGTTAAAAGGGCTACCCCCAACAAAACCATAAAAGGCTTCGATAATACCAAGCCTCGAGAACTCTGATGAGTACAAAATTGTTCGAACTCACGAACAATTCCTTATTTCATGCTAAGGCATTACAAGTTTTGCAAATACAAATGATAAAAAAACTTTTCGAGCCGAAAAGGGAGAAAGCCATAAACAATTTTTTTACAAAGGCCATGTCAGCCTAATACAAAAGCCTAAGGGCTGTTTGTACTTTGAGTTCGACCATCCTCGCTCAAATAAAAACCTAAGGGTTACCTTACTTCTAGTTCGAGCAAACACTCACTCAATCGTAAAGGCTATACTAGTTCGGTTTCAATCAGATTATCTAAACCTTGAACCTTAGAATACAATTTTATAATTTTATAAGGCAGAAAGGAATGAATTTTTATTTATATATCAAAAATAATTTACAAGGGAAGCATGGCCCTATCAGAACTCTCTACAAAAAGCCGAACGGCCTTAAAAGAAACACGAAGAAAAAATACAAATTCTAAGGGCCTAGTCTTCTCCGGGAGAAGCATCCTCACTCTCGGGGCCTTTCCCACTTTCAGACCCGCTCATGCACCCAGAACGTCATCGTCGGGAAAGGCCAACACTTTGGCTTCAGCTTCAAGCTCTTTGACACTCTCGATCTCAGCTGTAAGATCGAAACCACCAGCGTAGATCTCCTCGAGAGTCTCCCTTCGAGACTGCATTTAGCATGCTCGGAGCCTAGTTTGCTCGAACCTGAGCAGCTTCGGCAACCTCCGTTGCTCGAGCCAGAGCAGCTTTAGTGTCGGTCCAGTAGACGACCACCATTGCATCAGCATCAGCCTTGGCCGTTCCGATTTCTAATTTGGCCGTTGCAAGTTCTGTGGCCAACTTCCCTCGATCGGAAGTTGCTAAACCGAACCGAGACTGGAAATCCTCAATTTTCTTAGCTTGTACCAAGGAATTCTCTTTCAAGGTTCAAAGTTGGTTCTCAGCCGAGGCCAGTTGAGCTCGTGCAGCTTCCCTTTCTGAGGCCAGGCAGTCCATTTTCTCCTTCTATCCTTCGGCCTCAGTTTTTAGTGCATCCGCTTCTTCACGAAGTTGCCTGATCATGTCAAGCTTTTGTTGGACCTGCGGGTTCGAACCATTAGCTACCGAGCCTGAATTGCCATCACTAACTTCAGATATTCTTCTTACCAGCTCATCAGTTCGGTGTATTCTTTCTGAGCCGTTTCTAGCAACACGGAGGCCTCTAGCTTCCCCTTCTCTTTGCTCACTAAGAAGTTTGAAGGTATCCTTTTCCTCAGTCAACCCTCGGATCTCGGCCTCATAACGGCTCAGTTCCCCTCAGAATCGGGGGAAAGCCTCGTGATGAAGCACTGAAGCCTGCAAACATAAAAGGGAAAGTTATACAAAGGGAGAAAAATATAAGTATGAAAATTGACATAGAAATCAAGGATTACCCGGTTTAGAGCCTGTTAGGCTTCGCGCACAGGCCACCAGCCTAGAATCATCTTCATTATCTTCTTCTTCTTCGTCTTCTTCCCTTAATCTGTGGACTGACTCCATAGCCAGTAGGATTATGTTCCCCTTGGATTCACGAATTGTTCTCTTCTTGGGTTTTTGACCCTCGGAGTTCGAGGCCCCTTTCCTTTTATTCTCCTTCGCCGGTTTCGAGATAGGTGGTAAAACTTTTTCATCACCAGACAGGGGTCTTGGTACACCCCATGTTTTCGTACGTGAAAGTATTCCATGAGTAAATTGATGAAAGCTCAGAAATGAGATGTTACATCCCGCATTTCCGTACGTTAAAGTTTCATCGTAAGTTAATCGACGTAAGCTCGGGAATGAATAATTTTTGAGGTTATAAGTATTATGTTATTCCAAATAAGAGATAAATAAATTTGTGAAGGTGAGAGGGTAAGTGAATGGAAGAAAATGAGTTTCGTCGAAGTTTAACATTTTGGGATAAAATATGGTCCGAGCTATAATACTGGTATTTATGGACTAGTATCGTACAATGTACCACATGACCATGATAGTAAGGTGTATAAGGTATGTTAAAAGTGAGTAGTATTTTAAGTAATTTGAAATAATTTTAATTATGTGGATTATTGGTTAATTATTGGATTAGTGGGAGATTAATAAGTTAATTGAGGAAAGGGGTGAATTATTTTGGATAAACTTGATAAATTTAACCCCCCAACGTGGCTGCCCAAAGAAGCCTTGATAATGAGTCTTAAATCACAAGACAAGGTGGCACATTTTGGAGGAGCTCTTGGCTTAGTCATCTTATAAAAGTGGGCCTACACCACCAAGACATAAGAGCTTCTCTAATTCATAAGTGGAGAAATATACATCTAAGTAATGGGTGAAGCTTCAGCAAACTCTTTCAAAATAATAGCAACGTGATTTGCTATAAAAATTCATAAAAGACTTAGCAACGTGAGAATTTGCGATTCTTAGGGAGTACGGTGTAATTTTTCTCAAGAATATCATACGGGATTTTCCCTACTTCGATCCGCCATTACGTGATCTGTCGCAAAAGATATGTGTTGGAAGGATTGTCAAGAGAATCAGCTTAGGTATGTTAAGGCTATTCCTTCTTTCCTTTTGGCATGATCCATACGATACAACGAAACTAGCAAATGCACAACTTCTATAAATGACTCTATTCATAGAAATACTAGAGATGCCTATGTTCTTGATTCCCCATGTGTCCTATTATTCTATTATCTGTTCATGGGTCTCAGAAAATACGTAAGTTGATAAAGTTTATTTCATGATATTAGTCAAAGGCATAATGGTCTTATGATATTCCGAGAGATTTTATTGACATGCTTCTCATGCATTGCATTCATTTACATTGACCCATGACCAGATGGCGTTATATACGCGTATATATGTATATTATATGTATATGGGATATGGGAAAAGGTTACAGCGTCATATATGCACCACCACCTAATCAGCTGGTATACCTTGATGATTTTGCCCACAGTGGCCGAGATAATATGATGGGATACCCTCAGAGGCTTGGTGATGTTATGTACGCATATACCTATGCATGGTATGGCATTTATACGCATATGCATGGCATTATAAATATCAATGATTCAGAGAGTTATCCAGATTTACATGTTGAGTCTTTTACTCCATGTTTCTCTCATGTCTATTGTTTAATGATTTTCATTCCTTACATACTCGGTACATTATTTGTACTGACATCCCTTTTGCCTGGGGACGTTGCATTTCATGCCCACAGGTCCCGATAGACAGGTTGACAGTCCTCCAAGTAGGTTATCAGCTCAGCGGAAGATGTTGGTGCGCTCCATTTGCTCCGGAGTTGCTTATTTGGTCAGTTTGATTTAGACATATATTGATTGGTATGTCGGGGCCCTGTCCCGGCCTTATGACGTTTATGTACTCTTAGAGGCCTGTAGACATATGTGATGTATATGAAAGATTATATGGCCTTGTCGGCCTATGTTCAGTGTACGAGTGATTATTTTGGCCTTATAGACCCGTATGTCATATGTATAAGCTGGTATATCAGGTTGGGTCATTTTATGTCGAGTGTTCCCTCATGTTTTATTCTTGTTACCTCATACGAACCTTCTGGCCCATTTACCCATGTTCATGTAATAAGAAAGATATATTACGTTTGTACTCGATTGAGTAAGGCACCGGGTGCCCGTCGCAGCCCATCGGTTTGGGTCATGACAGGTCTCATAGTCGCATCCTTTCCGAGACCTGCAAGAGGATAAAGTAAGTAAACTTATGTTTGAAAAGATGTTTGGACGATAGACAAATCGGTAAATCAGGAAGAAGGCTTACCATAATTATAAGCCT